TCTCGCCTCGGTGGCCTTTCCTGTGCGGCAGGAGCTAGTGCCGAGGTGTGGGGGCCCCCGCCTCCCCCCCAAACTGTGTGGTCGGTCATACAAACGCCTGGGGCAGTTTTGGGGAACGGAGAAACGTGCGGTCATGGGATATTCAGTGGTGTCTGTACCTTGCAGCAGGTTTTTCATGCCTGCTTTTTTTGAGGAGGCCGAAGCCTCTCAGATGCCAGGGATGTCCTACCTGCGTGGAGCTTGTGTTTAGGTTTTAGGGGGACATGTCCCAAACTGTGTGGTCGGTCATACAAACGCCTGGGGCAGTTTTGGGGAACGGAGAAACGTGCGGTCATGGGATATTCAGTGGTGTCTGTACCTTGCAGCAGGTTTTTCATGCCTGCTTTTTTTGAGGAGGCCGAAGCCTCTCAGATGCCAGGGATGTCCTACCTGCGTGGAGCTTGTGTTTAGGTTTTAGGGGGACATGTGTAATATACGCCGTGTTGCTCAGAGTGGGTGAGCTTATTCCTTGGCTTGTCACTCATGTAATTGGAAATGTTATGTAAAATATACTTTTGTGTTACACTGTAGGATGCCACTTAAGGTATCTCTTGTTCTAGTTGATCCCTCTATTTTTGATCATTGGATCTGGAGGTGTTGGGGCAGCCCTGTATGTCATGCGTTTGGCAGTTTTCAACCCTGATGTCTGGTATGTGTAAAATAATTTATACATATATTTATTTATATGCCCTGTCATCTTGCTAGATACGTTAAAGTAAACTGTCCTAAGTTGTTCTCGTTCGAGCATCACTGGCACTGAGTGGGTGGAGATTCCTTTGACTTGGAGATTTGTTTATTTAACATATGATATTTAGAGACTGCTGACAAAAGGGCTATGTCTTTCTCTATGGAAATTTGTTTGGACAGATAACTGTTCATGGTCTAAAAATCTCAGCGAACACATTACTTTTATTTCTTTTGAGGCGAGTGTGATTTTTCTTAATACATTCTCATATCTTGTATTTCTCTCAATAGTTGGGACAAAAAAAATAATCCAGAACCTTGGAATAAGCTGTCTCCCAGTGACCAGTACAAGGTAAAATGCAAATACAGACTTTTAGAAAGCTAGTAATACTAAAGATGTAGCTTACTTGCTTTAAGATATTTGAGTGTATTAGAAAGTTGCTGATTCTGCAATATACTTTATCTGCCGTTCAAATTTTGTTTGTCCCTAGGACCCAGAGTAGAGAACTGAGTCTGAGATTTAAAATTTTCTTCCAGTTGACTGATGAGTGAAAGGAGTCCTATTACAGAAGCAATCATATATTTCATCTCCTTCATGCGGAGTAATACATATGTAAGAGTGAGAATATACTAGCTCATCATGTTCAGAGAGATAGATAACTGGTAGAAGGACAAAAACCTCTTTAAGTTCTTAACTAAGGGCTTTTAAGTTCTAAAAATTACTCATGCGAAGCAAAGCAGGAAAATGTCAATGTTTAGTATAAACTCTAAATTCAGTTCTGCAGTGAGTTCTTTGATTAAAAAAATCAATTGTCTATAATGAAGCAACCAGATACAGCAGAACTTTTTAAAAGTAGGTTCAAGTTATTTGATCAAGCTAATAAGCAAAGATGCAAACTACTTGTAGTTTACAGAAATAAGGCTCTTACTATGTGTTTTACTGAAACAGTGAACTTTTTCTTACGTTTACATTTTATTTTGCATTACAGTAAACATAGTTTACATTTTTGTATTGCTACTTAGGCTGCTCTGGGATTAGTTTAGTAGATTCCTGTTAAGAATAGCTTGAGACTTTCCTCAAGCTACTAAAAAAGCAAACATTAAGTTTTCAAAGACAATTTCTGTTCAGTGCTGTATCTTCCTAAGCCAGTAACCTTAAAAAAAAAAAAAAAAAAAATTGGACTCAGAAGTCCATAACATAATATTGCAACATTTCAGAAGCGGTAAAAATGCTAACTGTTCTTTGAATATATAAAAGAGGCAAATTCAATGTAGTACACAGCATAGATTCTTTCAAAGACTATGTGCCTTCTGTAGCATTCCTACTGGGCTTAGCATGCAAAAACAGTCTCAGGGTTTACCATATTTGGGTGTGTGTACCATTTCCAAGTCTGTGCTGTAAGAAATAGAAAGGCAGAAGTTCTAAATTGGGGATGAGTGTTTAGTAAAAAGTCTTGATATAACAAGTTTTCGCTTTTGATGAAATTGTTTTTCTTTTGAAGACTTTTCTTGGAAAAGGCTGAAGAAGTCAGTATAACAAAGAAAAGAGTTGAGACCTGATGGTTGTGTAGGAGTTGCATAGAAAGCTGCAATTAGAATGAATGTGCTTGTGCAAGCTTAACACCATTTCTGATTGTGGGCTGGGGTTTTGTTTAATTTTTCAAGTGATTACCTTGACTAAAGATAATCAGACTGCTAGGTAAATAATTCTTATGAATCAAGAGCTACAAGTCTGTCTTTGTTTGTAAACAAGAGAAAAGCAATCAAAAGTTTTCTGAATGGATTGAGTGATGCCTGCACATTGTCTGAAGTTGTAGACAATTAGCTGAAGTAGCTCAAACCACGTGGACTGTACTCGCCATACTAATATCAACGGAATGGACAGTGGCTCAAAGTCGTCTTCAGTTCAGCTTTGTGAAGGTTATGACTGTTTGAAAATGGAGTAAAAGTGGAAGTATATTAAATTATAGTAAACATACTTCTTTACTTGGTGTTCAAGCTGTTAAAGTTGGAGAGCTGTCAGTTCTTACGTTTGGCTGTATTTTAATATTTAATGCCCAGTAGTTGATCTGCTTATTCAGACTTAATCCCAAATTGGTCTTGTGAAAGGCTCATCTGCAGTGTTACAACAGTTATTTTAATACCTTAACACTTACTGAAGTGTTGCAGTACTTGCTCTTGTTTACTCAGTGGGTGGCCTGGGTGTATTTTTGTTTGATTTTTAGTAAAAATAATGTACGTGATGTCAAGTTAGCCTGGAATGTCAAAATATGCTTTTAATCTTTAAATTCACTGTCCTGAGTGACTATTTGGACTGTTATAAATTGTTTGTGCTTGAACTGTGTTAATATTGACTGAGTATGTGAAAAGATCTATTCTTACCTTCCTTTCTTCTTGTCATATGCTGCAGTGATACTGTTCTAGATTCATCTACTAAACCGAGCTTGGCTTTAGCAGCACTGCTGAAATGTTTCCCTTGTGACGTTACCTGCTCATATTTACCATCCTTTATCCCACTTGGCAAGCTAGATGTGCTTTATTGCCTCCTGCGCATGGGAGCACATAGATTTTTGGGCAAAAAGCATAACCCTAGCAATACTATAAAAGCCTTCTGCGTGTGGACTTTTAGTTCTGGGGGTTACAGAACAGATTCTCTGGGTTTTCTGCAGTTGTGGACACCAGAATTGCCTCATCCTTAGATTCAGGAGGTCTAGTACCATATGCGGAATGGAGATACTATAAAAAGTTACTGCTCTTTAAAGGGTTTTCTTGTGAGGAGGGCAGGGGGATTGAAGTATTTATTATAGTCTGGCGCACAGACTCCAAACTGATTTGTTTGAGTTTGAGATGCATGTTTGTTTTAGTAAATGCCATAGAAGCTTGACTATACATTTTCTTATTCTGGTGATTTTCCTCCCCCCCTCCTTTCCCAGTTCTACTCGGTTAATGTAGATTACAGTAAACTGAAGAAGGACCGTCCTGACTTCTGAACAACATTCTCTTCTCCATAAGCTGCACAGAAAGGTCTTCCGGAAGCCGTCCGCACAATTATCATGCTTACTCATCCAGGAAATAATTAAATTTGCCTCACACTGCACTTGGTCATGTGTTTAAAAGTGGTTTGTTGGGGTTTAATAAATGTCTGAAACTTGAAGTGTCTACTGTTTGCTCTTATTTTGCAAAAAGAGAATGTACTGACATTAACAGATTGTTGCATGATCAGGCAAATAGTAAGCAAAGGCTGATTCATGTTTACTCAACAAGAAGATAAAGTTGTCTTGACAGGCTTTATACTCAGTCTGTTGACTCTGGAAAAATAACTGTGCGTTAATGCAGTGTACTAAACTGCAGGAGCTCAAGAGTACAAACTTTTTTTTATTCACCTGAACTTTTCTACTTGCCGCTTAAGAAATTCTGGCAGCAGAAAAGGAAACTTGGAATCTAGGTGGGTTCTTAACAAGTGTCATTGTCCGGTGTGGAGGCAACAGATGTTTCCATGTGTCGCTGAAGTTAAAAAAAGCCAAGCACTGATGCGGAAGTTCCTGAGTACTTTGAAATATGGGGGGGGAGACGGGGGACTGTGCTTCTGTGAAGCTTTCTTTTGAGTGATATTCCTACTTAGAACAAATTACACATTTATGATCCTCTTCACAACTCTTATTCTCAACTAAAATAGTGAAGTTTAAGCCATTCTTAAATACTTAACCTGCATTCCTTTCCTCAAAAGTTATGTCACTTTTTAAAGTGACAGTATATGTTTGTACACTGTCTAGACAAAGTTGCTTAAGTCTGAAGTTCTGTTATTTCTCTATTACTTGAAATAACCCAAAAGTTTGCTGCCTTGTTTAGTAGGCTGCTTACAGTAACTGTTTTATGCTGTCACTCATTTCTAGAAGTTGTCTTTTGTTTCTTGAAAGGACCTTTTTGTCCCAAACTAGAGGAGTGAAAGTGGTAGGGTATTGGAAGAAGTACAAGAGCAAACAGCTCATAAATAGTCTAAGAACTCAGAAATGGATAGCAGAGTAGTACGTTTCATGTATATGTGTCTTTGAAGCATTTATATAGTAAATTTTACCAAAAAGATGTATATATATTACAACCTCTATTGACACTGTCTACCACACTGTTAAGAGAAAGTGCATTCAACATCTTCGGCTACACTAGTAGTGGGAGAATAACTGTGATAATATTAGAGAGCTTTGTAAAAGAAAATTACGATTTTCCTAAGTTTGGTCTCAATGTGGTTGCTTATAATAATTCACAACTCAATTTCTTTGAAGCCACTGCAGTGTCTTTTAGGTGTCCTGCAACCTTACACATATTCCCAGGTTAGATTGTGCTTGATAAGAAGAAGAGGACTTGATCTCAAAAGTCTTCAGTCCAATGTGGAATTGGTAAGATGGCAAGTAAAAGATGGCAATGAGAAAACGGAAGCTTACTCTTTGTCCCACAAAGAACTAGGGCATACGTTCCTGGGCTGGGAAGAAAATCAAGAGTTGAAAAACTGTTGTCAAATCACGGTAAGTGCAAAAACATGAAATATCAGTGTATTTATTGAAAATAGTATTTTATCTTATCTTACATGTGGCAAAACATTCTCCATTTTTTAACTCATAAGCAGTTTGCTAACAAACAGGAAACCAAACAGGTTTCCTATAGATCACATAGTTAAAGAAATCATCAAGAATCAGCAGAACAGGGTACAGGAATAAATAAGTATTTAACTAATTTTTATGTAAGAACAAAAAATATCTTTCAGAATGGGTAAATTCTCATACTTCAATACTTGGATGGGGCTTCACTGTGAGAAAACAGGAGAGAAATATCTTTGCATCTGTGTAACTAATGGCAGATTTTTTGTGCTTTTCTGAGAACATCTGGTATTGCTCTGGATCAGGGACATTATTCTAGACTAGTCTAAGAGAATACAGCTGTTCCTGTCTTGATACATTCCAAGTTCTCATAAACTGGAGTCTGTTGAGAGTGAAAATGACCACAGGAATTACTGTAAGTAGTAAGCATAGATTCAAAGAAACTGAGCAACACAAATTTTTACCACAGAAAAAAGAAAGTTATTCTATGCTAACCAAATGCAAAATATCAAACACTTACAGAGAATTCCTATTCTATGCAGAAAATCTTTCGGGTCAGTTTTATGTGTATTATTCGGTTGAAATTATCTTCCTTTTTATTTTTTCTATTATTTACCAAAATGCTGGGTAGTTTTCATTTACTTGTTTCAGAGACTTTCATGGTTTCTGAAGGAAAAAAGGAGTGCTATAACTGAGATACCATTTACAGTGGAGGGCAAAGTCTCCTAAGTTTCCTGAGGGACTAAACCTATTGTGAGGAAGTAAACATTATGTGGCAACACATTTTGTTCTTCAGTTTTAGAAGTGTCACATTTAAAATAGGAAACATTCTAATACCTTGTTAGCTGGTAGTCCTTCTGGATTTTACTAATATATTAATGCAAATACGTTTAATATTATCTCCAAAAGTAGCACATTTGAATTGTTTTTCTGGAACCAGCTGAAGACATCCAGAAAGACTAATATCCAGGAAGCAAACCTGGTTCTTAGCCAGGGGAGACAAGGCTGATGCTTTCAGTAACAGCTGAACAGAGCATAGGCTCAAGGTTCTCTTTATTTAACAACTTAAGAAAAAATGAATTGTCTGCCCTTGACAATATTTCAGAATATATTTAATAGAAGTACTTAAGCTATTTAAAGCTCAAAATATGGATTGAGTGGAAAGCAAAAGGCAGTTCATACTGTGCTACTTCCTCTGTTGATGCCAGTATACCTGCTGCTGTCAAGTATACAAAATAAGAAGTCTCTTAAATTAAAGCCATCATGTTTCATTCTAAAGGCCATTATTTTGAAGGGGCTCTTTTTCCTTTTTCTTTTGGGGGTATGCCTCTGTCATGTTCTAAATGGTAATGGATGAAAGTTATCATTACCTGCTGAATTTTAAACTAATAGACATCAAAAGAATTTTGTTTCTCCCTCAATCTTTTATGCTTGAAATATTCAATAACTGAAAAACGTTATGTGTCTTCCAAAAAGAAATTGAGTCAAAGGAAGAATTCTGTAACTTTTGTGCAAGTTTTTGCATGTGTAAACTTATGACTGAGAAATATGAGTATTAGAATATGAATATTAGTTCAGCCAATAATACATTATTTTCATACAAACATAAAAAGCTGTTTTTTGGTTCCGTTTGACTAAATTGTCACAGCAGATATTCTTATTGTTGAATCCTCGCACCTATAGAGACTTAAGGTTACGCCTTACCTACTGTAAATCTGAAAGAAATTTATTCTTTGGGCAAAAATCAAACATTTGCTTAAATATTCAGCTTTGGATTATGAGAGCATTAAAGTTCACAAACTTGACTGATATTAAGGCAATGGCATTCTTTACTTCACTAAAAAATCCACAAGTTCCTTAGTTCCCTAGTCCTTGATATTTTATGATTAACTCATGCGTCGGTAGATGTATCCTATTAATTTAATTCTGCAGTTCATCATTGTTACCTCACTAATATTACTTTCATTATCATACAAATGTACTATGTTATTCCCTGGTTCCTTTTTTTTAATTGCACGTAAGTTGTTTTTATTGTTAAAATTTCAGTCCTGTAAGGGCTTAAATTCATGCTTACCTTTATTCACTTTGAGTTCCTTTTGGAGAAAGGGGCACCATTTACTCCACATAAAACTAAGCACATGCTTGGCCTTAGCTTACAACTGCTTGGTGGTGGTCTATCAGTATCCAGTACTCGTTTTTTTTGAATTTTTAGAGTGTATTATTTATGCAGGGGACCTATTTTCACAGCTTAATAATAATAATTATCTATATTAAAATGTTGAATTATCTTCTTTAAAACTACGTTTTTCTTCTTCACAAAGGCAAAAATGGTTTCCCCTGAAGATACTGTGAAGAAATAATCACAAGTTTGCATTTCTGTACTCCACTATATGTTAGGATTCGAGTTTCTAACGTTCACCTTTGGCTATTAGCTTTTATGAAACAGCTGAATTCCATCATTAATCGGAAAGTCAAGGTCCTTTATTAATGCTGTGACAAGAAATTTGTTTTGAGCAGATGTCATGCGTTTTCTTAAGAACGTTTACAGTCTACTGACTTATATTTGAACTAACACTGGTACAACTGCTATATTCCTGTATGAGGTAGATTTGTATAGAATGCTGAGTATGGACCCAGCCTGCATGTCTTGTTAATGAGCCATATACAAAAGACTTGTCTACTATTCTTAAAGTCTAGAGCAATGCGCCTGCCGCTGTCAGAATTCTGTTAACAGAATTATGCTGCAGCTTCTTACCAGTGATCTGATAAGCAGCAGGGTGATCAAATCTGAAATTAATTCTGCTCACCTAGAATAGAAAGAATTATATGTTTCCATAGTTTTTACATAAAAACATGTTTCATAGAGTATATTGTATTTCCTTTAACTGCATTTTTAGTTTTAGGAGCATTCATGTTATAGTTCCTTGTGAGAACAAAATAACCAACTAGCTGTAGGAAATTAAACTGGCATGCGTGATATTAAAAGAATCATTTAAATTTTGCATAGGATTTCTTGCCAAATGTCATCTGAGGAAATATATTTCAGATCTGTTTCAAAGCTCTGCTTTACCTTTAGAGAAAGTTTGGTGTTTGACTACTGAATGACCTTTAGAACTAAGCAAATGCTGTGTTTAATTCTGATTGGACTGTAATACTTTGTCGGAGAGAAAGGTTGAGAAGTTTCTACAGGAATTTTTAGAAGATATTTAAACTGGAAAAAGAGTTATGGAAAAAGTTAGAAATACTTGCAAGACACCAAGAAGTCACCATTGCTACTTGTTGGCCTTGAGATAAGCCTCGCTACTAAAGCAACTGTATGAGCTAGGAGACCCTGGGACAAAGGATAGCGAAGCATCGCAGATCTGTGAGAACTCAAAAAAAAGGAGTGTTCGCTAGCATCTTTGCCACAGGTGATAGTTGTCTTCTTATTTTACAGAAAAGCTTACTGGTCAGTCCTCTTTTTTTGAAATCCAAGAGTTGATTGATTTCATGCTTTTATCTGAAACATGATGAATCCACTTTTCCTTAGAAGTGCTCTTGGCATCAGCATTTAGTCATGAGA